GGGCGGCCTGGACTGTGGAACTCAGAACAGAGCCCTGGCCACGCAGGCCCGGCCGCACAGGCCCGGCCGTGCAGGCTCAGCCACGCAGGCCCCAAAAGTGCAAATCTTAACAGCAGTCTTGTGACAAAAACATTTTGGTCGCTTTTGGTCACAAAATTACAAAGCTTATTGTCTCAGGGCAGGGTTATCCCCAAAGTTTTACTTGGCCATCATGAAATTATAAAGTCTAGGGAAGAAAAACAGCCCAAAACATGTTTTGCCCAACTTGTTTTTGTATCAAAATGGTGGGTGACAGATGCAGAGCCCCAGGGCAAGGAAATCCCCAGAGCTCCTGGTTGGGACTTAAGTGAAACAGTAAAAAGACAGGGAAGCCAGAGCTGCTCAGATTAAGAGTGAATCTCAGCACCATGACTCCTGTGGAAATGCCTTTTTAAATGCTTCTAGCTATGTCCCTATCTGTCACGCCTGTCTGGCACACTCTTTGTACAGGTTGAAGTCAGACCATGGAAATTATAATTCTCTGAGCCTTCCACAGAGTTGCCTCTTCCAACAGAGGGCTGAGCCTGCCGGCACAATCCAGTTTCATCTCCTTCTCAGCTCCCAAACATAGGGATTTTTTATCTGTTTGGTCAGCTCAGAAATGTCATTACCTCTGATTAGTGTCTTGCTACTTCTGCAGCCTTTATGAATGGCGTGTGCGATGGAATATATGAGCTGTCTTAGATACCTGAAGCCAAGTGTCTACCAGAGTGGAGGCCTGATACTGCGTGGGTTCTTCCCTTTTAATACTTTGGAAATACAATCTGCACATAAAGGTTTTCTGATAAGACCAACTCAAGAGGTGATAGATATTTGGTAAGTTGTTGGTTATATGTATGTGAAAATGTGTTTATAACTGTGTCATAATGTATTTGGCATGTGTGTGTGTGTGTGTGTGTGATTAACTCAACTTAAGAATAAGTGTGTGTGTGTGTGTGTGTGTGTGTGTGATTAACTCGACTTAAGAATAAGCAAGTGGGCACAGAAAAGAGAGAAGTGCAGAATTCTGAACTCAGGATGTTTTGCCTTGTTATCTTTTTATTACTTTTCTTTTTCTTATTTTCGAAGTTTCTTCATTTCTTTCAAGAGAAGAGAGAAATTAATATAATTTGTTGTTCACTCCATCAGCACTATCCCCAAATTTAGTCTTTGGGAGGCTCAGAATGAGTGAGATTGTTGGAATCTCAGCTCTTTTACCACCATGACCAGTATAGTGAGTCCCAAATGCATATTGAGACACTGACCACCTTGATGTGAAGTTAATGTTAGCATCAAGGTGCTGAACCTGGGTACTCTCTGTTGACTAGGGGATTGTAGCTTTGTACTTTGTAGAGAAGCCATGGGTATCTAAATGCCACCATGATATATAAACCAGAAAGGATGGCCACGCTAACATCCCTTCTAAATTCTCCTCTCAAGATTTTGAGGATGCATGCACATGTGCCCAGCATAATTTTCAAGCTGCCAGGCCTGGGACTTACACCATGCTCAGCCGTATGTGAATTCAGTGCCTTAATCCTCATGCCATTTGCTGGCCCCACCATATATTTTAAAGCAGATTAAGAATGCTTCCTTTTGGGAACCAGCAGTTAACATAATGGCTATATTGCTGGACTCCCACGTAGTCGACCGCGGTTTGTGTCCCGGATCTTAAACCTCATGCTGGGTGCATGTGCGTGCATGCCCAAGATCCCGAGAGGAGAATGGAGGAGAAGGGATTGCGGCATGACCATCCCCCCTGGGGGGTGATTTCTCACTTTCTGTCTCTTTGTCTCTCTCTGTCTATCTGGCAAGCGCACGCGCCCCATAGCAAAAAAACCTCTCCAAAAAAAAAAAAA